TTACTTCCCTCTCTGTTCATGACAATTCCCTATGGAAGATCACCAACAAAATCCTAAAATCCCATCATATTTCCCATCCCCTCCGTCGAAGCGATGGCTCCTGGGCAGCGTCTGATGAAGATAAAGCTGAGGAATTCGCCAGACACCTCTCCAGAACATTTACCTCTCATCCGGAATCCAACCTCACCCATACCACAACAGTAGAAGAATTCCTTACATCACCCATTCCACTTTCCTTGCCCCCTAAAGCAGTTAATCCTTCTGAGGTCAAACATCACTTACAAAAACTTCCTCTCCGTAAATCTCCTGGATACGACCTCCTTACCTCTCAAATCCTTCGACAACTTCCTCCTAAAGCTGTTATATTTCTCACTTATTTATACAATACCATCCTTAGAACCACCCACTTTCCTCTTTTGTGGAAACATTCCACTATTATCCTGTTTCCGAAACCAGGCAAATCTCCCAACACCTCTACGTCCTACAGACCAATTAGCCTACTTCCAATCCTCTCCAAAATCTTTGAAAAGATCCTCCTGAAACGAATCCTACCTTTTATAGAATCCCAAAATCTTCCTTCCCATCAGTTCGGATTTCGTTCACAACACTCCACAGTCCAACAAGGACTCCGAGTGGTCGATCATATTTCCGCAGCACTGGAAAGCAAGCAATATTGCTCGAGTGCTTTTCTGGACATAGCTGAAGCTTTTGACCGGGTATGGCACGCCGGGCTTCTTTCCAAGCTGAAAACCTATCTACCCCAGCCCTTGTACCTAATCCTCCGCTCCTACCTCTCTGATCGTACCTTTCGGGTTCGCTGTGGTTCAGAATTTTCCAACTCCTACCCAGTTGAAGCCGGTGTTCCTCAAGGTAGCGTCTTGGGCCCCGTCCTTTATATCCTTTTTACCGCCGATATCCCTGTCCATCCCAATACCTTCCTGGCAACATTTGCTGATGACACCGCCATCCTATCATCCAACTCAGATCCCGAAATAGCATCTTTAAATCTTCAAAGGCACCTCTCCATGATTGAGCACTGGTGTAATAAATGGCGCATCAAAGTAAACGAATCCAAATGCAAACACATTACCTTCACACTCCGCCGCAGATCCTGTCCATCAGTCCACTTTAATTCCATCCAGCTTCCTTTTTCAGACACAGTCCGGTATCTTGGCTTTATCTTAGACCGAAGACTAACGTGGAACCCACATACTAGACTTAAAAGACAAGAACTTAACCGACGATACGGCCAATTATACAGACTACTGACCAGAAAATCTCAACTTTCAATTGACAACAAATTACTGATCTACAAGACAATCCTGAAACCCATTTGGACCTATGGACTTGAACTTTGGGGGACAGCAAAATTCTCTAACATCAAACGCATCCAATCCTTTCAATCCAAAGTCCTCCGAACAATAGTCGATGCTCCGTTCTATGTAACCAACAAAACCCTACATCATGACCTTAATATCCCATTTGTCCTTGACCTTATCCCTGAAAAATTTTCAAAATTCCATCAGAACCTTATCAATCATCCAAATCCCCTAGCCCAATCCCTATCTAGTTCCACTCATCCCTACAACCCTCCTCGAAGGTTGAAGCGGCAGTGGCCCAGAGATCTTTTATAGTATTTATTTTGGAGTTCTGGCAATGGCCAGATTCTCCACTCAAGACATGAGTGTATGTGGCTAAAGCGCTCTCGCTCAAACTCCACCGGCTTTAGCACCGGTGAGGCGGTTGAGAGAGTAGCGCAGGGATTTGGGTTCCCCGCCTGATTGTATATATTGTATATAGGTATGACTGTATTTTTATGTTTTTAATTTACTTATATTTAGGTTATTTTATTTTTTTTATTGTATATAGTTTTTATTTATTATTATTTAGTTATTATTTTACTTTTGTTAATTTTGTTTCTTTTTTGTATATACGGTGTGAATGTGTTCATTTATCAATATAATTATTGTCCCTGTGACAGAATATTATATGTCTAAATAAATAAATAAAAAAAAAATAAAAAAAACATTGGGACCCCGAGACGCTCCCGTGTCTCCCACCGCTACACTGAGTTAGGGTGGCTCTTCCCCTCCTTAAGAAGAAAATATTTCCTAGGTACATTCCTTTATCAAATCATTACTGATCATCGTCCTTCTTATGCCTACAACCTTCTCCAATTTAATCCCTCGGGGATTTATGAAGAGATACACTCCATTCTGGATTGTTAACCTACAAAAACTAAAAGAAAGTAGGGATTAGTTGTGGTAAATCAGGGGAGACAGAGCGAGGTATGAAAGAATAAGAGAGGAATTCCTGATACCCTCTCTGAAAGCAACTATGGAATGCCGGCAACTTCGATGGTATGGGCACATGTGTAGAATAGAAGAAAGCAGAGCACCAAGGAAATGCATGAAAGCGAGGCCAAATGGTAGGAGACCAAGGGGCAGACCTAGAAGAACATATCCAGCGATTAGGTGAGGAAGAGGAAAAACCCTAGATCAGATGAAGGAATTGGCAAGAGACAGGGATGTATGGTCGAAGTTGCTGGAGGTTCCTCCACACTGAAAGGAACACAAGGAGGAAGATTAAGGAGAAGAAGAAGACTATGTCTGGTCATTATACTGTTATTGTAGTTTTATTTCTTTTTTTCCGTTGGCCATTTATACATACTGGCCCTAAGATTTGCCGAAGGAACTTCCTTGCCCTGATCCGGACGATCTTCACGCAATCCTGTGTCAGGACCCACGCTCCATCCGCGTAAGTGACAATTGGTCTCAAGATAGTTTTATAAACAAGTAGCTTTGCCTTCCGAGACAGGTTTAAAAAAATGCAATGTTTTTCTTCTGTTGCCTGCTGCGATTCTTGCTTTTATTTCTATTGTGATGTAATTTTTGCCAGTCACTAAAGCTCCTAGGTATTGGAAACTGCCAGCTTTCTTAAAAATTACGCTGATAGGGAGGATTGGAGAGGTTTTGTTGTGGAGGTCAAGGCCCTGCAAGTGCTGCAGACCCACGGAAGTAAAGTAAGTAAAGCTTCCTGGATCAACGAAAGCTTGTATATCGATGGAGAGCTGTTACAAAAACAGGGAGCAGTTGGAACAATGTTCCACTCAATTTATATGATTTATATTATTCAATTAAAATACCATTCGAAAACCGAATGCTGGAATTACATCCATAATTTGTGTGTGTATATATATATATCATTTGGTATTATATACTATATATTGTAAGTTGTTTTGTATTAATGACACAGAGCCCCCCTGGTCTCCTCATGTTCCTCTGGAGGACGGGGTGCCTTATCTACGTCTAAAAGACAGATGCTTGACGACGAGGCACGCAGCCACAGTTCACCCCACTCGCTCCATCGAATTCACGGCTCACGGCTGACGGAGAGAGAGACGTTACACGTTACGGCCCTTCGGCCACACGTTGATTGGACACCAGTTGCAACACACTGACGAGGCGAAAACCTAAGACGGCTTGGACGAGCGGCGGCATCGGGAGAGTGGCGACTAAGCACAGGCATGAGGCTGGCCCCTCCTCAAATTGTATGTAAAAATTACCATTCTCGATTAATCCACTAAAACTAATTGCCCCTTCAGGGACCTTAATTGGAAAACAAATAAAGTGAAATTAACAACATAAGCAGTGACGTCATTAACAGATATTCCTCCTTCAAACTCTTCATTATTTTTATTTCACAAGAAAAGGGCTACCGGTCATATAGCATGGTCCAATATTGTACACCGAATATTTGTCAAGGTTAATCATAGAATAATTTTGTCTAAATGAAATAGTGATTCATTTTTAAATAATTATTTACAAACAATAATTATTACTTTTCATTAAACAAAATGGCGGATGATTGTTAAGATTAACAGCCAATTTTTTCCTTTTTTTTTTATTTTAAAGAAAAATCCTTGAGCAAAACCAACCTTTATAAATTTGGCATTATTATTTTAAAGAAAAACCTGATAGTTGAGAGTGACCTAAGCCAAATCACCATCTTGTAAAATCGTCAGATCTAGATCTTCCCCTAGGGAATGGCAAAAAAAAAAAAAATAAAATAATGAATCCATGATCCATCATGGGTTGTGGTGGTACATTACTATTTGTTTTTATTTTTTTCATGATTGGGTAATAATAAAAGCTAGCAAAATAATAAGTAATTTTAGGGATATAAGTATTCCTTCATAATAATCGACCTTTCAGTATAATATTTTATAATAATTATTTTAATTGGGTGTTTGGTGATTAAATCTATATTTATGAATTTACTCAAGGATTTAATTTTGAAGTAATTAATAACAGTAATTACTCAACAAGAAAAAAATCTTTATGAAATGATATTTGATCTATGATGACAAATAAATAAATAAAAAACAAACAAAACAAAAAGTTAATGGCAGGAACATTAATGCTTTTAGAGATAAATTTATTGTATTTTTTCTTTGCACATGCTTACATTTGGTATCTGTGAATGCATTATAATTTAAAAAGATAACATATTGTGATTGTTTAAGTATTAAGTATCAATTATGTACCAATGAAAAAAACGAATTATTTTTCCATTTTACAGAACTTTGGACTCTTAGATCTGACAATGGTACAAGATGGTGATAAGGCTGGAATAACTCTCGACTATATATAAAGTCTGGTTAAATATAAAAGATGGTTTTGCTCCAGGAAGCCATCTTGTTCAATAAAAAATAATTATAATTATTTAAAAATGAATCACTATTTCATTTAAACCCAATTATTTTCATTTCACTTGACATATTTTCTAATGGTATTTTATTTGAATACATTTTTTAAAGGAGAAAAATATATTTAAAGGTATTCCCGAAATTTCAATTTGAAATCAACTTATTGCAAGTTATTATTTATAACAAGTAGTTAATAACAGAGCAGATTATAACAGAATCGCCCCCGGGCCACGAAGAATAATTCCCTCCATTTTGCTAAAGATGGCGCTGTTATCTTCGGCCGTCGGGTGGCACTAATTCAGTAGTGCGGTGGCCAGCGATGGCAATTCATCAACTTCTGCTGCTGGCCAGCCTACTCGGAACAGGAGCTTGTACCATGGTCCGTATCCAGATGAGCTCGTCGTTAAGAACCTGGACAGCTAATGGGATCTTTGAAGGAGGAAGATCCCTTCCAGCTACTGGCTACATATTCTACGGCGGCGACTATTGTCAAGCATCATCCCCATCCTCAGATCGGTCCATCGTTGTCTTTGCCACACCGGACAACTGCAGTTTTGACACGAAAATAAGAAACGCGGAGAACGATAATGCATCAGCAATAGTGTTTCTTTTTGACAGAGAATTCAGCAGTTACGAAAGGGCCATTAAATATAGTGAGTATTGATTTTACTACTTTATAAATGCATTGTATTTGATTTTTTATGTGTGTTTACTCTTATTTTTGGTTTCTGGCTTTTGAAAACAACATTATATTTTTCTATACTATAATAAATTTACATGCATATGTATGCTAAACATATTATAACAAAAATCTGTAATTTAGTTATTTTATCGCCATTACCCAGTTAAATTCACCTTTATGGTTATAAATATTATTTTTCAATATCGAATAGGAAAATTCCTGTTAAGAAATTTGTAACATTTTAACCTAGTTTGCTCAAAATTTAACATTTTTATAGAAATTTTCCTGAAATAGTCAGTCCAATAACTTTTTTGCTAAACATTTATGATAAATTTCTCGGGAGAACTTAAACGTCAGGATCTTTAAGTTAATACTTCCTTTGAAAACTTTATTGTAAGAATTTTATAATAAAATTTCTCGAACGAATGTATTAGTGAAAACTTTTATAATAAAATTTCTAATCGTTTAAGTTGTCACTGGACGTGTGTGTGTGTCAGTGTGCCCGACTGATTATGATCATACCAATTAAAAGATTTTTTTTAAACAATACTACCGTCTCACGAAGTTTCTCTCCCAAAGATCTCCCCTCATCGTCTCAAAAGTCATTGGAAGGATTTATGTAGATTTTTTTTTGTAACAGTTTCAGCAAAAACCTTTATTTTAAGAACTTTTATTAAATATTCTGTTGATAACTTTTATTGTTGAACTTTTAGGCTATAGCTTTAGTGGTAATAGTTTCTGAAAACAGTTGAACTAGAACAGTTAAATAATTGTGTTGTACATTAATTTCAGTTTTTTTATAAAACATATTTAATACCAGAAATACTATCTAACTGGTTCACCTCTTGCCAATCCAAATATTGCACTTGGTTTGTGCAAGATAAGAACTAATTTGAAGATTTTATCCACAACGCCTGCATAAGCAATTTACATAAGAGATCTAACGATCCTAAAATTTATGTAAATGTGATACATCTCTCAATTGTAAGTGGTACAATTAATAAACAATAAAATTATAAATATTTACGAAAATATTTTTTTATAATTATGAAGAGCAGGTCAACAATTATAAACACATAATATACGACTGACAACATTTTAACTTTAAGGCTGAGCCACATAGCCTGATAAAACAAAATAAGTTCCATAAAAGATTCTGTAGTAAATAGAACAGTAACGAAACTAAAAAATTCATAATTTACAGTATATATGTATATATATATATATATATATATATATATATATAATATATATATATATATATATATATATATATATATATATATATCATAGGTGATAAATAGTCAAGATGCAGTCATTTTTAAGGATTTTTATTAGTGTCGACGTTTCCACCCACGCATGTGGGCCATCATCAAAGCGTGTTTCGAGCACTGAAGTTATTCAAGTGCTCTTGAAACGTCGGCACTAATAAAAAAAAAAAACCTAAAAAATGACTGCGTCCTGACTATTTATAACCTGTGATATATAGAACAGTCGACTAACTTCCTTCTCTCTCTCTCACTCTCTCTCTCTTTATATATATATATATATATATATATATAATATATATATATATATATATATATATATATATATATATATATAAATATATATATATATATTCGATCGCAATACTCTAAAGTGGACTTGGGGACTTTAGAGTATTGCGATCGTTTTTGAGGATTAGACCGGACTCGCTTGTTTCAATTTCTTATATCTTCAAAGTTTAGATTAATCAAATAGATCACGAGACCAAGTTAATAGGCTTTATTTGATGACTTTGGGGAATTTTTTGTTTAAAATAAGAAACTCGATTCAAGTATGCGTTGTTTATCTTATATTCCCATTTCGTCAAACTAAAAACATAACGCGATAAAACAAACAAACAATAATTGCTAACTTTTATAAACAATTGCACGGTCACCGTAATATTTTTACATTATCACCCGATCGTTTGGCTAAGTTTTATTTATTGATATGCGTGTCAAAATATTTTAAGTTTCTGGATAAACATATATATATATATATTTATCCAAGTACAACCACATATATATATATATATATATATATATATATATATATATATAAAGCCTATTAACTTGGTCTCGTGATCTATTTGATTAATCTAAACTTTGAAGATATAAGAAATTGAAACAAGCGAGTCCGGTCTAATCCTCAAAAACGATCGCAATGCTCTAAAGTCCCCAAGTCCACTTTAGAGTATTGCGATCGTATATATATATATATATATATATATATATAAAAGATTGAATAAGCGGATAGGACTGATTCCTGAGAAAAACGTAAGAAAAGAAAAAAAAAATTCTTTTTAGTTTCAGTTAATTTTGTGACACCTCAGCAGACGGTTATTTATTATTATTTCCAATAGTGAATTTTAGTAATTGACCGAAAAAACAAAATCCAACAACCTTCCATCTAAAAATCTGAGGTTTTAGATTTCAAGATGAGTAGAATTCATATAAAAAAAAAATCGACTAAAATATATAAAAAAATCAGTCATTCGTCGTAAATATTAAAAGGATATATTTGAATTATTTCCAGTGGAGATAAAGATATGGGATTGGTCGTAATATTTTTAGTAATTACTCCTGTTCCAATAATATATATATATATATATATATATATATATATTATATATATATATATATATATATATATATATATATATATATATATATATATATATATATATATATATATATATATATATAAACATTTCCATTAGTACCTGCATATGTTGTGGAACCTTTTTTTTTCCAGTATTTTCGATAGCTCTATTTTCTCTCTATCCCTTACAATTATAATCCATATTTTTATTACCACTTTATAAATGTTTTTACCAATTCAACATCATTGTGTTTCAAATTATAATGAAAATATAGTTACTATAAATCACAGGCGGATCTATGGGTGGGCTTCAGCCCGAAATATACAGCCGAAATGGCAAAATACAACCACGTTTTATAGAAAAATATATTAAAATCTATCTCTTGAAGTATTATTGTACGTGTAATTACATTTAATAGAATTTCATGAAGCACTTAAACACTATTTAACATAGGTAGTTAATTTATTTCCTTTTTTTAAAAGTTGATTATCATTATATATTTGAGAAATTAAAGCCCCCCTCATCCAAAAAATTTAAAAATTAAAAAAAAAATGTGTATATATATATATATATATATATATATATATATATTATAAAAACTATTGTGACCCCGGCTTCTCATAAACCTTTACTTTAGCTAAGACGTTATAATAGGATTTATATAGCAACGTGAGATTTTGTGGCTCGTGTTACTGCCAAGGTAGGGAAGCCTTAATAGTAAGTTTCACCCTTTATTAGGAATAGAAATAAAAAAAGGTGTAAAACATTATATGTTTAGTGATGCAGTATTGCACTTCGATCGATTTATTGTTGATTTGTTGATTCTTAAATGGATTTGATTTATTCAGACTTAATTATTTTTTTAACGATACTCACATTCACATGTTCAATTCATAAAGTGGCTAAACGACGTGGATGGTATATGAATTTATTCCGAGTGGTTTCGGATATATGGTTTCCAACCGATTTCGGTCGTAGAAAAACCATATACTTATATAAACGTGATATTCACATTTTCAAATGTTAATTTTCTCTTGCATTGGTAGTTCACATGGAACTTGCTATAGAATGAAATAAGAATTGGCTCCTATCTATATGTGGAACTCTTATGCATATAGTATTGCTGTATATTATAATATGATCAAAACCACCCAAAGTTGAGGGATTATTGTATTTCGAATAAGGCTTCTTCGTAAGATTTTATTTTCGAAGTTATACTTGGCAGACATTTTTTTAGATAATAGAGGTAGTTTGATTAAAGAATTTTTCGAGACTTCGAATAACGCCGAATCAAAAAAAAAAAAAAAAAATATTTCAGAAAAACCATAAATGGTATGGGAAAAACAAGAAAAAACAGATGCTATTAGATAATCAAATTTTAATTTTCAATTGTGGAAGTTTCATCAAAATCTGAGGAAGTAGGTTTCATGACAGAGTGATTTGATGTGGAATGACCCTTAAGCAATACACATATAATTATAACGAAGAGAAGAATAGTTGGGGTGGTAGTCAAAAAGGAAGGCAAAAATAAATGATAATATTTATTTTTACATATGCCGACGTTTCGACCTGAAGTTCAGGCCTTCATCAGGGCTAAGAAAATAACCAGATAACAAGGTATGAGAAACATAAGTAGTGATGGTAAAAAAAAAAAAAATATATATATATATATATATATATATATATATATATATAAAATAATAAAAAATAAAAAAAATAAATATAAAGTAAAATGAAATTGTTAGAATAATGACTAAGAACTAAGAGATAAATAATAATAACCGTTACAAAGTGTGGAATGATGAAGTAGGCATCATCAAAAAGGGTGACATAAGTGTTACAATGGGAATCTTAGAATAAAATGTAAAACATAAAAAAAGTAAAATGTCTTAATTTTACTATTTATTTTCATTTCTTATATAACTTCATATTTCTTTTTTTACGTTTTAAATTTTATTCTAAGATTCCCATTCTAACACTTATGTCACCCTTTTTGATTATGCCTACTTCATCATTCCACACTTTGTAACGGTTATTATTATTTATCTCTTAGTTCTTAGTCATTATTCTAACAATTTAATTTAATTTAATAACAATATACTATCTTCGTTAGAATATTACTGATACTATAAACTACATAATTTTATCAGTAGTTCGTCCATAAAAGAGAAAAAAACGCTTGCTGAAGAGAACAGAGTTATTATTAAATGAGTAATATCAGTGTTGCCCAAATGCGAGACCGAGACAAGTCTTGGTCTTGCAAACTCAGTCTTGGTCTTGCGCGAGAGTCTCGCAACAGTCTTGCAGTTACTTATTAGCTTATTGCTATAGAGATATTACTA